ACGTCATAAACACCGCAAAGTTGATCGTGTTTATGACGTCGAATATCGACGTCATAAACATCTAAGTTGATCGTGTTTATGACGTCGAATATCGACGTCATAAACACCAAAGTTGACCGTGTTTATGACGTCGAATATCGACGTCATAAACACCAAAGTTGATCGTGTTTATGACGTCGAATATCGACGTCATAAACACAAAAGTTGATCGTGTCTTTATTTATGACGTCGAATATCGACGTCATAAACACCAAAGTTGATCGTGTTTATGACGTCGAATATCGACGTCATAAACACCAAAGTTGATCGTGTTTATGACGTCGAATATCGACGTCATAAACACCAAAGTTGATCGTGTTTATGACGTCGAATATCGACGTCATAAATACCAAAGTTGTTCGTGTTTATGACGTCGAATATCGACGTCATAAACACCAAAGTTGACCGTGTTTATGACGTCGAATATCGACGTCATAAACACCAAAGTTGTCGTGTTTATGACGTCGAATATCGACGTCATAAACACCGAAGTTGCTCGTGTTTATGACGTCGAATATCGACGTCATAAACACCAAAGTTGATCGTGTTTATGACGTCGAATATCGACGTTATAAAGTTTGGCCGGACAATAAAATTTGGCCGGACATAAAGTTTGGCCGGACAATTGCATGTTCGTTTTGACCGGACATTGTCCGTTGAGCGGCCGTTATTTTGCGCCGTATGCATTTTGTTCTACTTGAATTTACTAAAACAACAACTCACCTTTCCCAGGGTGCTTAATGAGCTCGTCAAAGTCACACGAGATCTTTCCAATCCATTTTTATGATAACAAACCATGCCACTTATCTTTGGATCTCTAACATTCACCTGCAACAAAAACGATTTCATTTTTTGCATTTGAATAAACAGACGCTCCTACCAGTTCTACTATAAATTATTTCCTCCCGCAGCCTTGCCTTACCTTATTCTGAAGATTAGATTTCAATAATATTTCTTGTATTCGTCTAATCGCTTCAGAGGATTCATTGCAGACTAATTGAAAGTAGAATTCTGTGGGAGACTTGATCTGCAATGGCAAAGTTTATGTGAATTATAACGCAGTGATCATGGGTCACACAATGCACTATAATACCGCGCACAATTCATACGATAGTATACCATGTCCTAGCACACAAAACCATACAGAACTACACTGTACCATGCCATATCATATCACATGACACCATACCATACTACACCACACCATAGCATAGTACACCATACCATAGCATACCATATACCATACCATATTACACCTATGGTGTCATATCATACTACATATCATACTACACCAGACAATAGCATAGTACATCATACCATAGCATACCATATCATACCATACCATATACCATATCACATCATGCCTTATGACACCATACTATAATGTACTACACCACACCATAGCTTAGTACACCATACAATAGCATACCATATCATACTATACCAAATACCATACCATATCACACCATACCTTATGATACCATACCATATCATACTACACCACACCATAGGATAGTACACCATACCGTAGCATACCATATCATACCATACCAAATACCATACCATATCATATGACACCATACCATATCTTATGACACCATACCATATCATACCACACCATAGCATAGTACAGCATATCATACCATACCATATCATACATAACATACCACATCATAATAATGGCGACCTTATGACACCATATACCATATCATACTACACTACACCATAGCAAAGGATAGGACACCGTACCATACCATACCACAGCATAGCGCATTAGCACACTGTACCAAACCATAACATACTACACCATACCATACCATACCATACCATACCATACCATACCATACAATATCAATACCAATATCTTTCATCAAAACAATGACTTTCAAACTACTTTGCTCAAATGCAGTGGGGGGGGGACCACAGACAACCATAGGGTAAAAAAGGGGGGACCATGGTAAATTTTGGATAAGTTAAAAAATTGCCTAAACCTACTCCAAACTTTCTGAAAATTGTCAAAAATTATTTCTTTCATCAAAAAATGATTTTCAAATGATCATGTATGAAAAAATGTGCATGTTTTCCCTACAACCACGCCATATATCACCACACAAAACTTACATCAGTGATCCAGATGAGATGGTGTGAAGTGCTAACATCACACAGAGGATCCTTCAGAGGTTTAAGAATGCTCGGAACAGACGGCTGGGAAGACAGCAACAGCGGAATGACTGGAGAAGACGCTCTCTTTCGTGTCTCTACACCAGGCAAAGATGTCAACTCTTTAAACACTGCATCTCCTCTCGAATACAAAAGTTCAATTTCTAACAGAAAAGGCTGAAAAGAAAAAAGATTTTAATTAAAAACGTGAATTTATTATTCCATTTTCGTGGTGGACCATACATTTAGTGACCAATACACTAACGGAAATATTTACCATCAGTTGCTTAGTGTGCTTGTTAAATTTGAAGTTAACACCATTCCATCCTATTCTATCCTATCTTATTCTATCCTATCCTTGACTATTCTATCCTACCTTATCCATTCTATCCTTTTTCTACCTTATCCACTCTATCATTTTACACTATTCCATCCTGTCCTATCCTATTTCATTCATTTTCACTCTTTCATTCTATGTCATTCTATTGACCGATTAAAAAACTAGCTAGCTACCACAATTTCGCACTATTGTATATTGTATGCATTACCAGGCTAAGAGACTACATATTATTCAATGCAAAGTGTAAGAGTTTAAAACCAAAATCAATCCATGCATGTGAATCAAAGCCCTTTGAAATGTGGAAAGAAAACAAAACGAGGCTATAGTCAGTCTTCTTTGCTGAATCTACTACAAACTTCAGTATTTTATATATTTAATTTATCAAAGGAAATACATGGTATTATTTCTGTATTTTATGAAACTGATAGTCTTGGTGTATTGGGAGAAAAACGAATGACAACCATTTTTCGAAACGGGTCTATGTTGTTTGACTATCCTACCAAAGCCTACAAGATCATACTCTGTTTTATCCCGTCTTTCCCTTTCCTATTCACCTTTATCCTTACTTTACTCTATTCTACCCTATTATTCATACCTTAGACGGGTCCGCTGACGCCTTCCTCGCCTGAAAACGTTGATACATCAAGAGTTCCTGGGCCGAGGATAACACTGAATTATCAAGACCGCCATTGTTATTTGACTTGAATCTTAGTCCTTAAAAATAATGATTGATGAGTCTATAGTAGAAAGATATATGAATATTGAAGGCAGGGGCATAGGAACCAGTGAGGGGGGGGGGGGG